TGGGGTCTCCAACGGTCGTTAATTTTGAATTTGTGGTCGTGGTGGCGGGTGCTATGTGGATTACAGTGCGTACTCTTGGAGTGTTTTGGACTGTCATGTGTCGTTTCCGTGTGCACATTCCACAAGATGCGTGCCCACACTATCCTCTCTCCGGCGTCGTTCATGGCCACACTATCCTCTCTCAGGTGTCGTTCATGGCTGACCTGCACCACAGCCTGCCACTGCTGCTGCTCATCGCCATGCTCCATTTCGGGTGGTTGTAGTGTTCAATTTGTGCTTCCTGGTGCGACCTCCTGGGAGGGACTAGACGTCATCGAATAAGGTGAGCAGGATGGACAAATGGTCGATGGACAGCGCACGGCCTGCAGGGGTGCGGGTGGTCATCACGTCACCGAAGTGTTTCCGTGAAAGCACGCGGGTGGCCGGCGGCCCGGCGCAGCATCGCACACCGGCAGATCTTCGCACGTCCTGCCTGTTCTCCACTTCGTCCACCATCTGGGCATGTTTGAGGGAGCACACCGGAGCCCACAATGGCAGCCTTCAAAGTTGCCACACAGTCTTGGGCGTTGACCACTCTTTGTATCAGCATCCTTTGGCCTGGGCCTCGATAGAGTTGCCTTCATGCCGATGGACGCTCTGTCTACCTGACAACGGCCAACGACAGTCAACGCCGCCGCCACCACCGCTGTCTTCTCAATGGGCGTCAACACTGCACCCCCATCTCCCCCAGCACCCGCCGTTGCCCACAGACTTCGAAAAGATGTGGTCACCCCCAAGCCTGCCTCATTCCCCGTGTGTCAGTTGCACTTTACGTGTCCTCAGGGGGACTGTAATGGATGATGGCACAACGGAGGTCTTCGCCCACCGAAGCTCGATCTCCAAGCTGCCACGTGTTGTCACTCAAGGAGCCGACCTGATGCTTGTGTTATTAGGTCTTGATTTTTTTGCTATGATACATCACACGGCTTTCCAACTTGAGTAATGAATAACCTCATGCATGATGGATGACTCAGGGGCAGCGGCGGCTGCAGCACAAATGAGTTCCATTTGGGCGAAAAAAATATGTGCTGGGTAGTGAGAGTTCGAAAGGGTAGTGAAAGCAGTGGGGGGGCTGCGAGAGACACAGGTGTCATAACTACAGGGTTGAGTTGTGGCGCCAGACAGCAAAAAAAAGAGAGTTGGCAGGTGATCCCGTCTTGCACCACGGAGTCTCATCTTTGTCTGAAGGAAAATTCTAGGTTTTTTCCATACTTGTGGCGCATTAGTGCGGTGCACGATGCGCTGCGCTGCGCCGTGCAGAATGCGCGCGGTGACACCGCGCGCGCATGTGCGTGCGCACGCGCGGCGCGCAGCGCATGGGGACGCGCTACCCCTGCAAGGTGCGCACTGTGCGCGATGCCTCTTTTCGGTGTGTGTGTGTGTGTGTGTGTGTGTGTGTGTGTGTGTGTGTGAGAGAGAGAGAGAGAGAGAGAGAGAGGAAACCGTGTGCTGACACTATCAGACCGAAGAAACCGCCCTTATCAACGGGCAACATGAATCCGGAAGCGGGGCGACATGCACAAAGGACAAAAAATATGGCGGTGTATCTTTCCATGTTCTGGCAGAAGATTCATTCATACGTTGGGTGGTGGAGAGCGAAGGGCCGATGAATCAGGTAAGCATGTAACGTATCTCTGGAACCTTTCTTTTTTTTTTTTGGAGAATCTCTGAACAAATGAGACTGAACCAGGACCTCCGCTCGAACATGGAAAGATGCATTGCCATATATGTCTTGTTGTGCATGTAGAGAGTCGTGCAGCGAAGCCCGTTGGTAAACATTACCGTTGAGATTCTGACAGGTTGGACGCGCCGGGCTTCACTCGTGCAAAGAAATTGGGCATCGCCACACCACTCTCGAAATTTGCAAAATGGGAATGAACTTCCCGCTAGAACACGACCAGATGGCCCCGCCACATCTGTCTTTTTCACATTTCTCGAGTAGTGTGGCAAGGCCCATTCTGATGTTCTTCCTTTACGTTTTTTTCTTTTTATTAAAGAAAAAAAAAAATCCAGGAAAAACGGCTGCCAGCTCCGTCGTTTTCTACTTCAGAAGTAATACGAAGAGAACGTTTTGAGCGATCGCGACCCTCATCATGACTGAATCTGGCCTGCAAGAACCCTACCATACAGACTGCAATTACCGTTGAGGTTCTGACAGGTTGGACGTG